GAGATCTGGGTAACCGTGGGGCTGGAGGAGGCGCTGATCCAGAGGCAACATCTCTGTGAACGGGCTTTAGGTCCCAACAAGGAGCCCCGGCTCTTCCATGGTGAGGGCCCAGAGGCGGGCAGGGGACAGAGGTTACGCACCCCCACACACACACACACACAGCCATCACCTCACGGGCCGGCAGGGTCCCCGGGCCAGGACTGCCTCTCTGTAGAGTCCAGGGTGATGTCCCTGCCGGAGTCCCTGGTTTCCCTGCAGCCCGGCACAGGGGCTCCTAGAGGCCGAGAGGAAGGCTGCTGGGTAGCCCTGGGAACATTGGCCTCTGGAGACGCCACCCGGTGTTGGCGTGTGGACGCGGGAGGCAGTCAGGGTGCAGGGCCCCTGGCAGGTGCTCCACTAGCTGCAGGCCCCGGCGCCTTCGCCCCTCAGCTGGACGGGGCACGTGTGTCTATGGGTCAGCACCCAGGCTGTCCTGCCAGGGGGGTGGACAGGAGCCAGTGTACAGGGGTGCGAGGTGTGTGGGAGTCGCGTGAGGGAGAGAATGTGCGGGTGCAGGCTGGGCGTCCAGAAGCAGGGCATTGTGGGGAGGGAGGGTGGAGACAGAAGACCAGGGGTGTGCTGTCCGAGCCCATACCTGCACCTGCATGGGGGAGCAGGTGTGCTGTGCACAGGAAGAGTAGGGAGCATTGGAGGGTGTGAGTGGGAGGGGCATGTGAGGGGTGTGTATGTGCGCACAGCAGTGTGTGTGTATGTAGGGGGGGCGGTGTTAGAGGGTGTAGCATTGTGCATAGGTGACTGAGAGCCATGGGTGACTGTGGTCCTAGCCCAGGGCAGACACTCCCCCAGGTGGCTCCTGAAAGGCCCATCCTCAGGGGCTGGGGTGGAGGGGTGTTCCCAGAGGGGAAAGCCCAGGTGGGACCTGTGAAGGGAGGGGAGGGGGCCTGAGGTCCAACACGTTGTCCTGGTAGCTTGGCGTCCGGATAGCTTGGTGGTTGGTACCCGGTTGTAACCAGGATGGCCCCCATGGAGCCTGATCTGCCCCCTTGCCACCGGATGTTGGGATTATCTGATCTGGCTCAGGCCTCAGCTGGGCCCCCTCGCCACCCCACACAGCCTTCCATCAGGTCTCTGCGCCCCCACCCTCCCAAGGCTCCATATTCTGGGCCCTGGGGCGTGTCTCCAGGCTAGGGCTGCAGCCTGCACCTGTCCCCACACTCACACAGCTGTCCTGTGCATGGACACTCCATTCTAGAGTCTCTGGAGGACTTGGAGGTGGATGCGGGGCAGGAGTAGTCCAAGTCTGAACTCCTGGGCTTTGGCCCAGTGACTAGTGCCCCTTAGCACCCATCACCCTGTAAACATCTAATAAAAGCTGGGAGCTGCTCCAAAAGGTGTGGGCACACAAGAGTATTTGGGGTGCTCCCGCATCCCCAACTTGTGTTACTGGGAGGGAGAGCAAGGCCCTGAAGGGTGGTATGCCTGCAAACACTCCCCAAAGAGCTGGGTGAGGCTGCCTCTCGGGTGTAGCCTCCCAGGGGAGGCATGGGCAGGTCCAATCAGGTGCCGGGCAGATGGTTTGCAAGGGGGGTGGCGGTGAGGCTGAGATAAAGCTTCTCTGCCCGAGGACCCAGCTCAATGCATGCTTGAGACTGACTACCTGGCTGGAGTAGCCGGTGTGACTCAGGGCCAGCAGCAGGGCCTCCTGGACCTGAGCCTCAGGCCACTTTGCTCAGGGTTGGCACCATGCTGACTCGGCACTGGTTGGCAGGTACGCTCCCCACTCCTCACCCCTCTGGCTCCCGATTCAGCTTCCCCTGCTCTGATAGGCAGCCAGCCCCCTTGGGATGGGCCCCCAGAACAGGCCTGTCAGCGCCATCTCCACAGGTGGTGCTGTGAGCGTACGGAGATCCTCTGCGTGGAGGAGTTGGTGTCCCCCCACCAGGAGGACCTCGTGCCTTGTGCCAGCCTCTACCACCACCTCTGGCTGGGCTGGCACCTGGGCCCACCACCGAGGGCAGGTGCCAGGCTCTCCTCAGACCCTAGGCTCTGCTCCATCTACAGGTGAGGGGAGCACAGGCAGGGAGGTGAGGAGCGGGCTGGGTCCCCGACTGGGATAGGGCCCAGAGCAGAGGGAGCCAAAGCCATGGCCACCATTTAGGAGGCCCAGACTGTCCTGTCTGCACTCCAGGAACCTGCCCCATTAGGGTGCGTGTTGGAGCACCTTCCCCATAGCTTCTGCACTCCATTAACACCTGTTCAACCCCTGCCTGCTTGGGGTCCAGGCCCCCAGAAACCCGGCCCGCCACCCAGACCTGCACTGTGAGGGTATGCTGCCCAGGCTGGGGTGTGTGTGTGTGTGCCCACTGTTCCCTGGGTAAGCTGGGCCATGGGATCCTGGGTAAGAGGGCTAGCCAGACCTGGGGTTCCCTGGAGGCACAAGGCAGCACCCCCATGCGAGGGTCACTGCCATGGGCAGTGTCAGACTCAGGCAGGTGTCCCCATGTGCCCACACAAGTGGGGGAATGCTGTGGCCGGGCCTGGGGGGTGCAGCTGGCAGGACAGCAGCTTCCAAGCTTGTGACACCTGCTCCAGCCAGCCTCCTCAGGTGGGGACAGACCTTGTGCTCACTACAGGGCTCTACTCATCCTGCCCACCAAAGGGCCTACACCCCCATCTTGTGTCCCCACCCACAGGGAAGCGCTCACAGGCCCCTTCAGGCAGCACACCCACCCTGGCCACCCTGCAGCCACTAGGGGGGACTGTGGGCCAGCTCTGGAGTCAGCGCCAGCGCCCCTTGGCTACCTGTGCCACCTGGTCTGGCTTCCACTACCAAACCTTCGATGGACATCACTTCTACTTCCTGGGCCATTGTACTTAACTGCTAGCAGGCGTGGCTGACTCCAGCTGGGCTGTCCATCTGCTGCCCAGGGGAGACTGCCCCCAGCCTGAGCACTGCCAACTGGTGAGGCACGGAGGGTGGGTAGACTGGGGTGTGTGTGCAAAGGGATTGTGCTGATTGCCCCTTCCCACCCCATGCACCCCAAGAGATCTGGGTAACCGTGGGGCTGGAGGAGGCGCTGATCCAGAGGCAACATCTCTGTGAACGGGCTTTAGGTCCCAACAAGGAGCCCCGGCTCTTCCATGGTGAGGGCCCAGAGGCGGGCAGGGGACAGAGGTTACGCCCCCCCCACACACACACACACACAGCCATCACCTCACCTTGCAACTTAAAAAGTTCCTCCGCTAACATAGGGCAGCTAACTACAAGGTCTGAGGTTTGAACCCACCAGCTGCTCCGTGAGAAAAAGATGAGGCTTTCTATTCTCAAAGAGTTAGGGTCTCAGAAACCCACAGGGGCAGGTCTACCCTGCTCTATTGGGCCACTATGAGTTGGAATCAACTCAACAGTAGTGTGTGTGTGCGGTTGTGTGTAGTGTGTGTTGTATGAGTGCATGAGGTAGTGTGTGTGTGAAGGTGTAAGTGCCTGTATGTGCTGTGTTGAGTATGTGAAGGTGTGTGTGTGAGTGCATGTGTGGTGTACTGAGTGTGTGTGTGGTGTCCTGAATATGAGGTGTGTGTGTGTGTGTGCTGTGCATCAGAGTTTACCTGTATTTTGCTCCCTCAAGGCAGGCTGGGGTTCCCCAGGGGGTGGGGGCACAGGTTTCAGAGGGTGCAGCTATCCTCTCGCCCCTGGGGGGCTGGCTGGGCCCCTTCCGCACAGGGTTCAGTCTGCAGTGGCAGGGGGAATGGCTGGTGCTGGCTAGCAGCCTGGGGGCCGTGGTGCGGCTGGATGGGGCTGGCTCTGTGTCCGTCTCCCTGGACCCTGGGCTCCTCAGGCAGACTCAAGGCCTGTGCAGGCTCTACAATGACCAGCTGGAGGGTGAGTGGGTGGGCGGGGGTGGGGCTAGGGGGCAGACCCCAGCCTAGCCTACCTCGCTGCCCATCCACAGATGACTTTCTGGAGCCAGGGGGGCTGGCTGTGCTGGCTGCCACCTTTGAGAATTCCTGGCGGCTCCCTGACTCTGAGGTGAGACTCACCCCAATTTCTTTCCACCTCAGCCTGGGGCAGGGACCTGTGTCTGTGCACTGGGGGAGGGGTTATGATCAGTTGTCTAACCCAGTGGTTCTCAGCCTTCCCAATGCCGAAACCCTTTCATACAGTTCCTCATGTTGTGGTGACCCCCAACCATAAAATTATTTTCGTTGTTACTTCATAACTGTTATTTTGCTACTGTTAGTAATCGAGCGACCCCTGGGAAAGGGTCATTTGACTCATAGGTTGAGAACCACTGACCTAACCCCTGACCTGGGCTGGTGAGGACCCTCTGGGGCTGCCCCCTTCCCTCCCTGGCTGGCTCTCACCCTGTCCCTGGTGGCCACCCCCAGTTTCCAGCCTGGCTGTGTGGAGGCTGCCCCAGGCTGTGATGGGGCCCGGGGGGTGCAGCGGAGGTGACCCAACTGCAGGATGAAGCCCAGGATGTGTGCCACCCACTGTTGGGCAGCCCTTTCAGGGAGTCCCATGCCCAGGTACTGGGTGGCAGGCGGAGGGTGGGTAGCCAATGCAGCCTGTGGCAGTGTGGTCATGTCACCGGAGGGAAACAATGATGGGTCCTGGGCTTGAAGTGAGTGCATCCCTCTTGCTCTACCAGGTGGCCCTGAGTGGGTACCATGAGGCTTGTCTCTTTGCCTACTGTGCGGGAGTAGCGGGCAGCAGGCAGGGGGGGCAGCAGGAGGCGGTGTGCTCCACACTGGCCAGCTATGCCTGGTGCTGCGCCCAGGAACGTGTCTTTGTCCCTTGGAGGCGGTCTGGATTCTGCGGTAAGCTCTGACTCCACACAGAGTCGGTAAGCTCTGACTCCACACAATCACCTGGGCTGGCCCGTGGTGGCTCCAGAGGAGGAGGGGGCAGGTGGTAGCCTCACATATCCCCTCTCTCCCAGAGCACCTGTACCTGGGGGACCAGCTCTACTCCAACTGCACGTCCCCCTGCCCACCCAGCTGCTCTGCGTTAGATGAGCTTGGGGAGGAGGCTTGCTGGGCCAAGTGTGTGAGTGCCCCCCCACCCCCGGGCTGTACTGGGATGGCACCCAGTGTGTGGCCCCCGCCCGGTGCCCCTGCTATCATTTGCGCCAGTGCTATGCACCGGGGGGACTCCGTACAGCAGCTGTGCAACCCCTGGTGGGTGCTGGCCTGCGCTGGGGCTGGGAGTGGCATGGCTCCCCTCCCTCAAATGCTCCCGTCTGGCCTCCACCCATGGACAGCTGACCTTCATCCTGCTGTGCCTGGACTGGGGGGCAAACCAGAGGGGCTGGTGTGAGGCTCCCTACCTTGTGATCACAGCGTGTGTGAGGATGGCCGTTGGCACTGCTCCCAGACCCCATGTCCTGCTGATTGTGCTGTGGGTGCTGATGGGCACTACCTCACCTTTGACAGGCAAGGCTTCCCCTTCTGGGCCAGCCCAGGCTGTCACCACATCCTAGTGCAGGTGGGCAGACTGAGCAGGGCATGGGCCTGTGTGGAGTCACCCCCACAGGGCAGGGCCCCCAGGATTTCTCCTCTCCGTCCCACCCTATGACACTCCCCCCCACCCCCCCGCCCCAGGACCACATGAGGGGCCAGTTGCTGCTGGAGCTGGAGTCAGGGGCCTGCGAGTCCGGGAGCTGCCTCCATGCCATCTCAGCCTCCGTGGCAGGGATCTGGGTCTAGCTCAGGGCCTCAGGTAGCCTCCTTCCCACACACTAGGCTCCTGCCAGCAGCTGTCACCCTTGAGAGACCACCCACCTCCACCCTGTCCCGAGCCGGATTTGAGTAGACCCCAGCTCTGCCCAGAGCTTGCGGCCTCAGAGGCCATCAGGCACCCAGTGCAGGGGCATCTGAGGCATCTCTGCCCCCTCTGAGGTGCATAGGCCAGCCGCCACCACAGCGGGCCTGGACACCTCATAGCCCTCTCCCTTGGCTCTGCTTTCACACTGAAAAGGAGAAGGCAGAGGCAAAATGGGGCCTCATGGGCTCAGTTAGACTGGTGGCCTTGCCACCACCCTCTGCCCCCTAGGTGCCGTCCTGGTGGGTGGACAGGAGGTGGCTGTGCCCTGGCGTGGTGCTGGGGAGCTCGGCGTTTTCCCGAGCCTCTTCTGGCTTCCTGTTGCTGCACTGGCCTGGGGCCTAGGTCCTCGGAGCCCCGCTATGCTCACCAGGTATGCTGGGCGGGAACAGTGGCGGCGAGCCTACAGCCCGGCTTGACCAGCATGCCCACCTGCGCCAGGTCCAGGGTCTGTGTGGCACCTTCACTGGAACCAGCAGGATGACTTCCTGACCCGACTGGGTGTGGAGACCAGCAAGTACCAGGTGGCAGGCAGGTGACAGTGTCCCCCAGGGGATGAAGTCCTGTCGCACCTGTGCAGCACCCACACCTAGCGCCACCCCTCTGCGGAGGCAGCCTGTGAGGTGCTGTGCGGTCCTGTCTTCCACGTACCACGGCGGCTCTGGCTGCGTAGTCCCACGGGCTCAGGAAGGGCTGGCAGGGAGGGCGGCCATGGGCTCTGTGGAGGGCAGCCGACCCTCGGCTTGCCCCCAGGAGTGCCACAGGCTGGTGGATGCAGAGACATACTGGTTGAGATGCCTGGCTGCCTGCCATGTGTGGCTGCTCTCTGAGCAGGGACTGCCTGTGGCCCCTGCTCTCAGCCTATGGCCGCCACTGAGCTCAAGAGGGCTCCCTGCTGGCCTGGAGGAGCCAGGCCCTCTGCCGTGAGTGCCCCCCAGCCCCTCGCTGTCCCTCCCTGGCTCTGGGACTTGTCCTGGGTGGATAGCAGGTCCCTGGTGGCTGAGATAGTGCCAGGCCTGACCTGCTTGCTCTTCTGTCCAGCTGTCATGTGTCCTGGTGGCCAGGAGCACCAGGAATGTGCCCATGCCTGCCGCCAGGCCAGTGTGTGCCCCCTCACCTGTGCCCTTGCCAGCTGGGAGGCCATCGCCACACCCCTGGCAGTAGCACCATGAAGGGCTGTAACCGCTGGTGAGGGTCTGGGCCTCTGCACCTGGAAGGCAGTATTGGGGGCCTTGGAGAAAGGAGGGGCTCAGCATGAGCTTTGAGGTGGCGGTGAACTTTCAGGTCCAGGCTGTGGTCTTATACATGAGAACAGGGGCGGGGTTTGCTGGAGGAAACAGGGAGGGTTGATGGGGGGGGGGGGGGGGGCGGGGGGCAGGGCCCCACTGTCTACAGAGCATGAAATGTAGTGGCAAGGGAGGCCCAGGCTGTGCTGGGGCTTAGGGAGTGGCGCTGGGGCAAAGGCCCTTTGTTGGGCTGGGCACCTCTACCTTCCTGGAGCTGGAGAAGGGTTCTTAGGGACTGAGAAAGGAAGAGGGGTCACCAAGGCATGACACTCAGCATCAAGGGACCTGGGCTCCCCAGGCCTGTGACTCTTTGACCAGACCCTGGTCCCTCCTGCCTCCAGTGTCTGCCGCTGCTGCCCGCCTAGGCAGGCGTTCTGTCCCCGCGGGCTGGTCCACGTCCCTGGAGCCTGCCTGCTCACCCGTGACAGCCCCAGTGCCAATCACACCTGTCTCTTGGGTGACACTGAGGGCTGCGTCTGCCCCGCCTCCCCGGGCACAGTGCTGTTGGTGAGGCTGGGGAGGGACTCATGGGGTGCCCTTGGCCTCTGCCAGGCAGTGCCTCCAGCTCACCCACACCCATCTGCACCTGTGGGGGGAGGTCAGATGCGCAGGCACTTCCCCCCCTGAGGGCGATCAGTTGCCAGGCTGCACTAGCCCTACTCCCTGCTGCTAGAGACAATGGGTTACCTCTCTCTGTAGGAGGAGTTTGCACCCTACTGATAATGGTTCCTATGGAGACCCAGAGACCAACCCCTAGACCACCCACTCATTGTTGTGTAACCTGTAGTGCAGCTCCTCCCTGTGATGTATGTCTCTACCTGTAATTAGTGGGCTGGCTTGACTCCAAAAGGTATATAGGCATGGGTCAGCAATATAGAGCTCGCGGAATCGGACCTCTCTGACTCTCTCCCCTCTCTCCTCTCCAGTCCTCTCTCCCTTGTTCCCTTACCCTCCTTCCTTTCCCCCTCTCTCCACGTGGACCACCAAGCTGGGCTGAGGTGAGCAATGCCAGGTAACATGCCTGACTGTATTATTGTATTATCTCTCATGCTCTCGATGACTTTAATATAATACTTATATATCTCAACCAAACAATTGTGCATTACCGAACCCTGAAGTAGTATTACTGAACCAGTGAGTTCTAGCAGCGGATGGGGGCCGGCACCCCACCCCCCAGTGCCTTACTTTTTAATTTAATACTATATGCACCCAGGACAAGCGCTGTGTGCCCGTTGAGCACTGCCCCTGCCACCATGGTGGGCAGTGGTACCCACCCAATGCCACCATCCAGGAAGACTGCAATGTCTGGTACGCTTCGAGACCCCAGCTCCCAGCCTTCTGTTCTCCCGCCCCAGCTTTCCTTGGGAGGGGCTGGTGGGGTAAGGGGTGTCCGCCAGGCAGTGAGCAGGACCAGTAGGGACCCTCAGCATCCTGGAACTGCCCAGCCCACCTCACTGATTGCCCCCTCCCTCCCTGCCTGCAACATGTGCCAGGGCCGGAGGTGGAATTGCACAGGGCATTGATGTGTGGGGTGCTGCCAGACCTCGGGTGCCCCCCACTATGTGATGTTCGATGGGCTGGTGCTGACCTCACCTGGGGCCTGCAAGTACCTGCTGGTGTGGGAGGCCAGTGGCCAATTCTCCTTGTGGGCCCAGAACCTGCCCTGTGGGTCCAATGGCCTCATCCGCACGAAGGTGCTGAGCCTACAGCTGGAGGGCACCGTTGTGCACCTGCTCAGAGGTGGCCATGGTCTAGGAGGGTGGGCATGGCCGGGCCATGGCACCAAGAACTCCAGCCCCCAGTGGCCCTTGGCTCAGCCGCAGCTGGGGGAGCCTTGGGGTATGGGTGTGCCCCAGCCTGGGTGCAGCTTTGTCCTCCACAGGCCAGGCTGTGACAGTCAACGGAGTGCCTGTCTCGACCCCCAAGCTCTACATAGGCCCCTACCTGAGCCTGTGCCACTCTGGCCTCTTCCTGGTGTTCTGGACCCACCTGGGCCTCAGCCTGCTCTGGGATGGAGGTCAAGGCCCAGCTTCCCCCTATCCCCCCTACCTGGCCCAGACCCAGACCCTGTGACTACCCCACTGCCCTCCTGAGCTCCCCCACCTCACAGCCACATACTTGGCTGGAGTTCCTACAGTGTGTTTGTATAATTGTACATGCTTTTCTTTGTCGTGAAAACAAAGTCTGCCAACCAAAGAAACTAGAAATCTCCTACACTAACCACAAACATAGCAGGTGGCATTTTGGAAATAACAGGAAATGAGGGAGGCATAGGGTGTGGAGAGGGAGGCCTGGAGATGGCTTTGTTCTGAGCTCCAGAGGTAGCCACCTAGTGGAATGTGGGGCCCTTCTCTCCCCTGAACCCCCCAAACTTGAGCTTCTCACCATGGCACCCCTAAACATGGGGCTGGCACCTGCCTTGGGATGCAGCTGCCTGTTGGAGAAGGCTTGGGGCGCTTCCCACAGGGCCCCTCTGCCGCCTCCCCCACGCACCCGAGTGCTGCTGGACTTGCCTCCCCAAGTTCTGAGGCCGGTGGCAGGGCTGTGCGGAGACTTTGATGTCAACGCCAGCAATGATCTAAGGAGCCAGGAGCCATCAGGACTCCCTGGGGCCGCCCATTCCTGGTGCCTCCAGCCCCTCTGCCCAGAGCCAGGAGACCTGCTGCACCCCTGCACCGTGAGGGACATAGACAGGGACTGGGAGCTTCCAGAGGCTGAGGGCCCGCAGGCTGCCCATGGAAGCCACGAACAGCAGTGCCCCGCGCCTTGCAGGTGAATGCCCACCGGGCATCCTGGGCCCGGGCTCGTTGTGGGACGCTGCTGCAGCCTCTCTTCTCTGTGTGCCACGCCGAGGTGACCCGCAGACGCACTACAGTGGTGCTGAGGGGGGGGCACCTAGCTGCTGGAGGCATGGGGCGTGGCCTGGAGGGCGGGCGAGGGTCAGGGGCGGGGCTAAACACCGGAAGGGGCACGGGTGGGGCTCAACACGGGGGCGGAGCCTGAAGGGCATGGCAAGCTCAGGGGCAGGGCTACAGCTGGTGTGCAAGGCCGGCGATGTCCTAAGCTCAGGCCCCTTGGCACAGCTGTGACTCTGGCGGCGACTGTGTGTCTGTGTGGGGCCATCGCCACTTACGCAGACGAGTGCGCTCAGCGTGGACACCGCCTGCGCTGGCACAGCCAGGAACTCTGTCGTGAGCGCAGCGCAAGACAGCTCTTCCGCTTCTGACAGCTCTTCCGCTTCTGACAGCACATGCACTCTGAGGGCTTGCCACGTGGCACACAGTTTCTAGATGAACCAATTGTGCCAAATGGCTGCTCCTGTGGAACGTGCAAGCTACAAGTGGCCTGGGGGCGGGAGGGGGGTGTCCTGGCCGTGGGTCCCATTGCAGACTGCAGGAATGTGGCCGCCTGTGCTAGCGCCCTGTCCCCTGAGTTCTGTAGCCCAGCCCCTCTACCGTTAGCCTTGCAGTGTGAGGGGGGCCAGTTGTATGACGCCTGTGGCCTCACGTATCCTTCCACCTGCCCTGACCAAGTTCCTGGGCCCAGCTGGCATTGTCATGTGACCGCCTGTGTGGAGGGCTGCTTCTGCCCCGAGGGGATCCTGCTGCACGGTGTGGGGATGAGAGGGACGAGGAGGGAGTGTCCAGGCCCCTAGCCTGCGGGTCTCCAGCTTTCTCTGAGCCCTGCCCCTTGTGGCCACAGGTAGCACCTGCCTGGAGCCTGCCTCCTGCCCCTATGAGTCAGGGGTGGGGGTGGGGGATGTGCGGGAGCAGCTTCTTCCCACCAGGGGCTGTGCTGCAGAAGGACTGCGGGAACTGGTGAGTGAGTGTTTCTAGAGACCCTGCCTGTCGCACAGAGACTGGCTCTTACCCCAGACCCCCTGTGTGCAGCACGTGCCAGGACAGCCGTTGGCACTTCCAGAGCCCTGGCTGTGAGGAGCCCGAGCCTGAGCCTGGCTGTGCAGGGGCAGAGGTCCAATGCCAGGGCAGTGGGCACTGTGTGCCCCGCGTATGGCTCTGTGACAACCAAGATGACTGTGGAGATGGCTCCGAAGAGGAGGGTGAGTGAAGGCCCTGCCCCTGTCCTACCCTGTGCATTGGGGTAGGGCACTTGCCCCTTCCCAGGAGGTATGGTTTGTGGGGGCAGGTAGCTGGGTGGCTGGGGGGTGTTCCCCAGTGTGGGGCGGCTCTGAGTCCAGCTGTCTGCCCCATTCCAGGCTGTGCCAGCCCAGGCTGTGGGGAGGGTCAGTTCTCCTGCCTCTGCTCCATGCCTGCCTGCAGCCCTGCGCTGTGACAGGCAGGCCGACTGTGCCGATGGGGCAGATGAGCAGGGCTGCCCCTGCTCTCAGGAATCGCTGACCAGGGCCCTGCTCTGTGACCGGCACCCTGACAGTTCCCATGCCGCTGATGAGGAGGCGTGTCTGGGTGTGTGTCCCCGCCTTGGCCGGCCTGGCCTCCACCCTTCCCCAGCCCCGTGCAAGGTAGCTGTGCAAGTGGGTCCCCCCTACCCACACACACCCACACAGCACCCAGACAGCCCTGCTCCCTGGCCGCTGGGCAGACCAACTGCGGGGGGAGGTGACCTGAGGGTATGACAGCTGCGTGGATGCCTTCCAGCTGTGTGACGGGGTCTGGGACTGCCCTGGGGGTACGGACGAGGGGCCGGGCACTGCCCTCTCCCCTCTCTGCCTACACCCCCCGACGACACCCTGGAGACTGTCTCAGCCCCACTGGGCAGGGTCAGACCTGGTGAGTGGCCTGCAGGGCCTGAGGGCGTCGGGAGGGAGGCCTTCGGGGAAGGTGCTGGGATGGGGGATGGAGGGACTGCTGGAATTGGCGGGGCCTTCGAAGCTGCAGGGTTAAGTGGGCACTCCCGGACGATAGCGGGGTTTCCAGAAAACCAATCTGACTAGAAGGGCGGCTGGATTTCAGCCGGGGCGCCCCGGGTCCCTGCCTCCCCCCCCCCCCCAACTGAGGCAGGCTCTGAGCTGGGGTCCGCCGCAGCACCACCCTGCAGCCGAGCTGGCCTGCAGAAGCTGCGAGTGCGTACCGCGGGGCCGGCGCTGCGACCTGGAGGAAGACTGTGCCCAAGGCAGTGACAAGTGCGACTGTGGTGAGCCCCGCCCCCAGCACCGACCCAGGTCCCTGTTCGACTCATTCCCGCCCCTCTGAGGCCACGCCCACCCACCGTACAGCCCGCCCTGCGAGGACTCCGCCCAGTACAGAGCCCAGACTCTGCTCCTCGCAGACTCCGCCCCTAGTGCAGACCCGTGTCCCGTGCAGGCGCACTCTCCGCCCCCATTCAGACTCCTTCCCGCCCCAAGGAACCACCACCCCTCCCACTGCACAGCCCCGCCCACGTACAAAACCTGGCCGGCTCAGAACGCGCTCTTCTCAGACCCCACCCTTAACTCAGATTCACTCCTGCCCCTGAGAGCCCCGTCCCCGCCTCCGCTCTGCCCCGCGCAGTCCCCTCCTCAGTGGAGACTGGGTCCCCTGCAGACCACGCCTCCTTTTCAGTGTCCTTAACCTCTCCCCCTCCCCGCCTCCACCTTTTGGTGAAGCTGAGGGGAGACTAGGCCTGGAGTCTCTGTCTATGCAACTTTGCCTTTTTAATGAAAGCTTTGCCCCCTGCGGAGCCCGGGCCATGGTGGGGAGGGCAGTAGGCAAGGAAAGGGTCCTTGATTTTGTTGACATTTGGAGTACTCATGATGGGCAGTAGCCACGCAAGCTGCCCTCTCCTGGACAACTGCTAAGTC